TATTTTAAGTGGATTTTTTATGTTTTTTAAAAATAAAAGAAGGAAAATCATTGAGTCACACCACTAATATTAACAGAGCATCCATCCATAAATTTGTCTGATCCTCATCTAAAGCCACCTAAGGCAGAGGTGGGCAGAGCAGCAGAAGGAAGCAGTTGTTATTATTATAGTTTGATCTAGAGGATTTCCTGACAATGGAAACAAATGACTTGAATTTGAACAAAGAGGGGTATTTTTTTGCCTCCAAGGCTTTGATCTGTTTTATATGGACTTGATAAAGAGCATACAGAGTTGAAATAAGTATTCCAGAGTTGCTACACTTAAAACTTGGAACATATTTGTGTGTTGATGTTGTAATACACATTATTTTGGGGTATGAATGAAACACATTTATAAAGACTTATTGGGGATTGAATTCAGTGAAATAGTTGTGTTAGTCTGGAATATCAGTATGTTTAGTCTCAAAAGTGCTACAAGATCCCTTTGCATACTGATATTGGGGGATTGTGCAATTTGGATACAATAATACTCTATTTAGGCATTGTATCTTTAAGAGCCGGTGTGGTGTAATTGTTTGAGCATTGGACTATGATTCTAGAGACCAGGGTTTGAATCCCAGCTCAGCCATGGAAATCCACTGTGTGACCTTGGGCAAGTCACACTCTCTCAACCTCAGAGAATGGCAATGGCAACCCCCCTCTGAAGAAACTTGCTAGGAAAACTCCATTATAGGCTTGCCGTAGGGTCACCATAAGTTAAAAAAAAAAACAAAAACAGTTAAAGGCAGACAACAACAACAACAACAACAACAACATATCTTCAGGTCGTAATTCTCATCATTCCTAACCACTGGCTATCCTTGATCTAAACCGAATGTTTGTTTTAAAACTTATACTACTGCCACTTTTTCTTGTGATAACAAGTGAGAGTGGTATAAAATGCTGCAGCCTATTAATTTTTAACTTCTCTCTCTGAATGAATAGTACCATTTATTGATATGCTCCAACCTTAGAGACATACTTGTATAGGTTGAGGGCTACTGCAGTTCTCATAAACCTATAGTTATAGATGTCATATGTGATTAACAGATTTGTAGAAAATCAAGCTACTCCGTGCCTTCTGAAATCTTACTTTTTTATGCATTTACAATAAACACGAGGCAGCTACCACTGGTGCCAGCTTGGAAAGTATTTCCTCATTTCATACTACTCTAGATTTAATTAACATTAAAACTGTTTTAAGGTAGCTGATGTTTTAATTGTCCTTAAACATGTCAATAGATAACATACTGAAATATCCACCAGAATAGAGTTTCTGCTAAAGATGCAGTTGTAATTGGTGGCCTCCATGTCATTTGGGCAGTAAATCCACTTCTGGTTTGGGTCTGCACCTTAAAGAAACTATTATTATTATTATTATTATTATTATTATTATTATTATTATTATTATTATTATTTCATTCTTTTATATCTCAACTTTCTCCTGTTATAGGGATTCAAGATGGCTTACAATAAGTTTAAAAGTTAAAAATATTAAAAATATTAAAATGCATGAAGAGACTATATGCTAATCTTAAAACCCAAATCTCACAGCATTTAAAAGCTCAACCCTCGTCAGTTTGTAAAAGCCCGACAGTGCAAAAATATTGTCACCTGCGGTACAGTGGGAGGACAGCAAGGCCGAAGCCAACCTGGCCTCTCTAGGTAAGGAGTTTAAAAGTCTGGGAGCAGCCTTTGAAAAGCCCTTCTTCTAGCTTATTCCCACTAAACAAGCCTGAGACGGTGGTGGCACAGAGAGGAAGTCCTCTCTGGATGATCTTAACACCCTAATGGGCTCATACAAGGAGATATGGTCCTTCAAATAGCCTGGACCCAAGTCATATAGGACTTTATAGGTCAAAACCAGCACTCTTGATTTTGCCCAGAAATGAATCTGCAGCCTGTGGAGCTGTTGCAACAGGGAAGTTGTATGCTCCATGTCGTCGGCTCCAATTAGCAACCTGGCCGCAGCTCTTTGGGCGAACTGAAGTTTCTGAGCACTTTTCAAAGGCAGCCCTGTGTACAGAGCATGAAAGTAATCCAAACAGGATGTAGTCGAGGCATGTACCACAAACTACCAAACACTCTGAATCCTACTTCTCAAATAAGTTCAGAACCTTGGCTAACTCCTTTTCCGTTTGGACTGAAACCTAGAAGAGAAGAATCGACTACTGATACTCGATGGCTCTTGAGGTCTCTTCCAATTCTATAAAGCTTATTGCA